TATTGAATTTTTCAGGCAAATCCTGTAAACTTTTGGACTTTAAGATATCATTTTGAAAATCACTATCGAAAAACTAGAGTCCCATTTTACACAGTATCGTAGGTAGTAAACTAATTTCAAGAGCAGGTTCTGGAGTGATCGCAGCAAAGAAATGGGCAACGTTTTTTGGATTTTATTCACGTTAGCTCGTATCCTCGTCAGTGATTGAATCGGAGTGATACGATTGCATCGTGTGAGTAATCATCGACACAAAGGAAGCCAACGCTTGGAACGTGGACGCGCAACACAAGTGTAAGCTATCTATACGAGTGTTTACACACATTATTATAGGTTTATTCAAATAGATCTGCTGATGGGTGTGTGCGTAGATAATTTATCGGAGAGCGCCGCTCGGCCGGCCGCGGCCGCTCTGTGGCAACGCGGCCGGTGAGGTGGTTCGCGCTTTATATGGATACTTGTCTAATCCACCGCATAAATTACCAATGGGCTTAGGTTTCTCTCGAATAGCTAATGAATCTTTACGAATACCTACCTCAGTACCTACTTCATTTCAACGTGGCTCTCCCTTTCACATCTATTGCACAAATCCTTGATGGTGCTTTAAAGCTAAACCAATCTATACCTACGAGTAGATTGCGGTAGGGTAGTAAACAAGCTGCAGTGTAAATAACGCTAACACTGGCCTATTTACGAAATAGGATTAAGGAGATAAGTCGTATTGCACTTTTTAATTTAGTCATTTAATGCGGTTAAAAAGAGGAATAATGAGCCGCAATCTAAGTCATAAGTGGTGCAGCAACAGCGTGTAAACGGCGGCGAGTGGTGACCGCGAACGTTGCGCGTGCGCAAAGAGAGTGGCGCATGGCGCCTGGTGTTCTGTGCTTAATAATATGGCGATGGCGATGGCGCCGCAACACGTTCACCCTTTGTGCTTTTCGTTACAGTTAACTACCCAAACGATAAAGTTGTAAACAAAACATGATTATAAATGAGCGTTAATAATGATAGCGTCACTTCCGCAAAACATAATTTTCCGACTATGCAAAACGTATGCAACCAATCAGACATTTGTACGGTGAACCAAAAATTGTTTTTACGAATTTTAAATTATGTTTTGGTAGAGTCGTGAGTACACCAGCTGAAAAATGGTCGACTAACCTCATTCTCTAACCTAACGTATCCTGCATATCGATAAAAGTGACAGCTTTTGAAAATGATATCAATAGTTTTCTTTTATAACTTAATATACAATGACTTTAATTTAATATACAAATACTTTTCTAATAGGATAAGATGGCATGGGATCTCGTCAAATAATAGTTATCGTCAAGTTAATTAGACTATAATCAAAGTAACTAATCACGTGTTAATAACAAATCAAAATATAATCGTGCATTGCGACGCATTCAATAACATCTATAATTAATTAACAGTGTTGTTTTAATGATTGATTTTATAATAACCTATTATAATACCTATTTTTAATATAAATGTGTGTTGCACACTGTATGCAGTTTCCCCGATATTGTAACTATAATGCCATCAGTTATTTGTGTGCATGTTTTTATCACGTTGATATAATAGTGACATAACGTAAATTGTTATGAAATATATATCAACTTCGATGTCATGTATGTTTCCCAACCACAAGCTGGAATAAAATAAATTGAAATTGTCAGCTTACTACAAAGGCGGGTGCTAATCTTAGAGGATGTAAAAGAAAATAGTGTAAGGTGCTAATAGACACCTGAAATATGTATCGGCGGGATTTTCCACATAGAGCCTCGTTTGATTTACCTTAGTCACTTGCTAGAGAAGAGCTGTCTCCGGTTGATGTCATACCACAATGTTAACAGTCTATGGGTTTTATATTGTGGCGTAGTTATAAATATTTAGGTACTTATATAGCATTGTTATAAAAGTAATGTTAAGCGCGTGGACTGGCTGTATAATTACCGAGCTGTCCATGCAATTAAGGGCAGTAAATAAGGGCATTCCAAGGGCCTATTAAGTTCACAGGCATGCAGTCAGCGAACCGATGAAGGTCAAATTCTCAGGTTACGCTGACACATTACAGCATAATACACTTGAATGACCATTAAGTGCACCCTATCATATTATTTATTATGCCTATTCGTGGGACTGCTTAGACGTGTGCATGTAACAAAGAAAGATCTTACAGAACATGTTACAAACTTCCTGGTATAATGTTTAAAATTGGAACGCATGATGCGGCGCGCGCGGCGCTTAATCTAACAATCACACTGCACTAAAAATTACTGCTGTCGACATTCACTAATTTCCTGTAGATAAGTTGTAAATAATCATAAATAAGAATCAATTTCATCGATATTACGCAAATACGTATCTATGGAAGTATCTTAAGCGTCAAGGTAATCCAGAATGCCTGCGCAGCCGCAGCGCCACAGAGTCTGGTGCGACCGGTACCCCGCCCGCCCCGCGCCCGCTGCCTACCTGTATGCTGCCCACGCAACCGATCGGCCTACGCCTAGCTCCGTTCACATAACTTGAGTGTCTCTACGCATGACACATAATGATCGATCGTGCGTTCGTGTCGAGTAGGTACCAACCTACTCATCATACGATCATCATAATGGTTAAGACAGGCGTGCCCAACCGTGCCCTCTACACAAAGGAAAGGATAGGTACTGTTGTGATAATTACGTAGTACAATCAATAATTTAGGTCTCTAGCTCTCTTCGCCACATGAGTTTCCGAGATTTCGTTTAAATTGTAGACCTTTTCATTACTTATTACCAGAGACAAATAGCCAGAGTATTTTTACCAGTACTATAAGTAGGTACCTACTTAATAAACACATACAGTTGATAATACATACCTCCCTCTGAAATCCCGAAATCATTACAAACGAAAAGCAGAGAATCGTAACAAAATAGTTTTATTTTTTAATCAGGGTTAGAAGTGATAATTATCTTGATAAATATACCTCCAGAATTATATTATTATTTAAAAAAGTAATTGGAACAACAAAATGCTACCGTTAGCAATGTCGTGTCTCGTGTTTTTATATTTACGTATCCAAATGTAATTGTGTGAAATATCAATTTCAAAAAATAATACAAACCAAATTATTTTCCCAAAGATGTTCCTTCGTGTTTATTTACTTTTCTCACTGTTTGTTAGTCAAAAATTAGAGATAAAATTATAATAATATACAAAATATATACCTACATGATAATTGAAATAAAAGAAGAAAAAAAGAATAAAAAGAAATATCATAATTATTTCGAACCCCTACAATTACAAAAGTTTTCTTCTAAGTACAATTAAAGTAATTGATAGATGAAAATTAAACACATGGCAATTACTTAGTTGGCATAGCGACTGGCCACTACCAAACCGTGGTAGGTAGGTTTGCCGGTTCGGATCCAGCCGGATCGAAGGATTTTTTTCAAAGTCTTCGATCTTTGTATTAATAATTATATATACCAAACTAGAGGAGTAATTTCACAAAAAATATTTGAATATCGACGTGGTGGCACGACCACTATGGAGGTACCCTTTCCAACAAAAACGGAATAATGAAAATTGGTTCACAAATACCGGAGTTATCGCGTAACGCACATACAAAAAAACTTCTTTTTTTGGAGGCGTTTAAAAATACAAAATTATTTATTTCTCCTCACATAGCTAAATGACGCATATTAGCAATAAGGTTAAACTTAGTTAGTTACATTTGTGGGAGACTGGAGCCTCATTTACCTCTCTATATGTATTACAGGCACATCTTTGAAAATAAGATAAATAATAATAGAGTATTTATATATTTCGATCGCTGTTTGTCACGGAGTAATAGCCACGATACCGTGAAAATATGCGTAAATTCGGTATTTTTGCAATTCAATACCTACTACAGACGACATTCGCGCTACAATACACCTACTTTCATAAGTCTGAGACAGATAAAAATAATTGAACGACTTTTAAGCTTTTTAACGACTTTGAAATATTTACCTAACATTTTCACCAGAAGCATAATCTATTTATTTGAGAGAGCGATTCTCACTTTCATTTCATTTAACCCTTCGGCGTTTAAGGATCGAAATCATCATGATGGAACTAGGTATACCTACTAACTACTCGACCGTACCTAATCGTCGATAACCTCATGAGTTCTGTTGTCCATTACAAAATAAATATACAACAAACTAGTTAGGTACTCGTTTATAAAACTTTACCCAAGTGAAATTGACAAATCCGCCATCTATTTTTGGAAATTATACGATATCCTGACCTTACCGACTCTAACATGTTTTCGATAACGTTGATTAGTACCTCGTACTCGACCTTTCTTAGTAGAGAGATATCGAGTTTGGTCAGCAACTAAAATAGCTATTAAAGGACTTCGCGCCTGCTATCGCAGGTCAAGAGGTGCCAGTACACGCATATGATTACAATAATTAGCTGTGGATTGCGGATCCGTGCGATACGCGGATTGACTCATTCGGCCTGTCGTGACACCGCTCACATTCTTCGGCATGTCTTCTATTCTATAGGCTAATTAGAAAGATTGTTCAAATTAATCAAACGATACGATTCGATTAGATTGACGGAATGGTCCACACCATTGAAGAGAATATTTGAAGTTTCTTAATATTAAACATCAATCGTTGCGCTGAATTGAGTAATGTTCAAGGAATGATATTATTAAAAAAAGCGATTCAAGACATGAAAAAATGGTATGAGATCATAATGTTGAAGATTTTCAGGTGTTTCAGACACAGATATATCTCTGTGGAAAAAACATTAAATGTTGTAAAAATTACCATACCATACCATAGTAATTTTCGATAAGGTACCCTTCAGTTGTCGTAGCTTAAGAGAAAATTAATTAAGTCACTATTCTACGTTCAAGTTAAGACAAAAATAAATTAGGCAAAGCAAACTGCTCCGGGCCAGTAGGTACATTCACTTTATTACAAATAAAACAATTCAATCAAATGATAAGAAGCTTGAATCCAATCATAATATGAGTAACTTCCGAAACGAATAATGAATGCGGGTGTAGTGGTATTGTTAGGAATATTGGCTTTAGGTGAGATTATCGTTTCTATATTACAGTAATATTTTATGTTACTCAACTAATTGTCTGTACTAAAGTGTGCGTTACTTTGAAAGATGACGTTAATTGGACGAGGTACAATCGTAAGTAAAAGAAACATTCTACAACTAAGATTTAATAATTTGATGCAATCAGGTGCTGCGACGAAGACACCGGCAGTACCGGGAATTAAATTTAAACAAAATCCTGCAATAGACAATCACAGGTTTGTTTAAAATAAGTATTATTAAATTCCAGTTTGTTAATAAGAAAGTATGCTGAATATTTTTTTACATAAATTTGTGGGCGTACTCAGACTAAATAGTCGCTTGATTCGGTTAGGCTCCAATATTCGGGACGTTTTGTTTTCACGATCCGTCGTGTGTAGTGTATGTTTATATCGTTAAACAATAACTTGAACGTTAAGGAAATGGCGACGGATAGATACAATTATCGTGACGACCGATAGCGAATCTTCTGTAGACAGGGTCCTTTATAAATACAATCATTTACGATATTACCGAGTAAATACGTAAAGAAGTAGCTTCTAATTAAACCATAAGTAGACAGTGCAATATCAATACGAAATAATTTTCTTCTTCTTAACGTATCGATGGCATAAGTACACAATAATGCTTGCCATCATGGTGAAAGATTTGCCAATGGCGTACGGTATTCGACTGTTGCCCAAACTTCGTCAGACGTACCGGATAGGAATTCCCTTCCAGTGAAGTAGAAGATTCCAATTAAGGGTAGATAACAATTGTGGTAGGAGTAACAGTAACAGAACGATATGTTGTAGAGTAAAAGCTAGCAGTTAAAACTAATAATATACTTTATAGATGCGGCGTATGTCCCACGTACTTTCAGAAGATATGCGCGTTTAGCTTCGCCAACAATGCTACTTACATATTCGATAACCACTGCATCATGGATGTGTACAACTGCATCGAGGGCACCGGTTTGTATGAATACTATGTATTACTTCTACCAATTTACGAACAAGTTTCAATCATAAAGTGGTGTGTACGAATATATTATATAAGTTCTGTCGCCAAGCAGTAATGTGAGCATTACTACGTTCCGGTTTTGAAGGGTAGGGGTGCTGGTGAAATTACAAGCACATGGGACTTGTCAACTTATGTCTCAGGGTGACGGCACAATAAGATCTTTGCGATAACACAAGCAATACAAGCTCTGAGCGGCACTACAACTGTTATGGTTAGGCGTGTCGCTTTCCACCAGGTGCACGACTTGTTCATCCCTTCACTTGATATCACAAAAATATACACATATGTTCATCTAAAGGTATTAGTTTCAAAACTAAAATAGATTAAGTATTTTTTATTACCATTATTGAGATTTAACAAGAACATAATTCGTAGCTTTTAATTCGAGTTAAGTTGCATTCTACACTTATCATCATATTTAGCGGAACAAAATAAGTGTATAACATAGCATCGTTTATACCAATTTAAATAAATAAGAATGAGATAGAATAGAAAATCGCAATTAAATTAACGTATTTTACATAGACTTGGTGTTACTCAACTTTAACTGGAAAAAAAATCGAAATTAAACAAAATGCATTTTATTAGATTTTGTGACAAAATAAAAAATTGATAACAGCTTAACATTGGGTAATTAAAATTTTATAAACAAATAAAAATCAACTAAACGTTATAAAAACGCAATATGAATGTCGAACTACAGTCAACAAAAAATGGCGGGTTTTTGTAGTTTCAGTTTTTTCACAAATTCATTTTTAGTTTAATTATTATTACGTTTTGAGTTTCTTAATTGTTTGATGCTCAACAAATAAATAAATAATAAATGTCGGACTACGCAACAAATCTGTATTATTAGGAAATTAAAACAAATTAATGAAAAAAAATAACAGTCGGCTAATTTTTTATTTTCATTTTAGTTCTAAAATAAAAAATAACAAAACCGGCCAATCTTTCCAAAAAACATTGCATTCTGTAGTGTTATTTTATTTTTTACTAGTGTTCCGCTAATTTTGTTGTGTTTTGTGTGTTACATAAAGTGAACTTTCCTCCAGATTTCATCACAATAACGTATGAACACTGCGTGCACTTTGGCAACTTTGCGTACGTACACGGGTATAAGTACGAAGACGAAGACTATGGCGAAGACAACATCATTATCAAGAGCTCTGCTAAAAATCCGCCTTACGTTTAAAAACTTTTACTAATAAAACTTGTTTTTTTTTTCCTAGATTTTTTATTTACCTGTACCATGGACCAATAAATAATTGAACAGGACTGCTAATCGCGATGCAAGACAGCGTTAGTCGTGTATTTAGTACCTATTGGTACAGTCAAGAGCACGTCAAGCTTGACACTTGACGCATGCCGCATGCCGCCTGTGATAAGAACGGTCCAAAGTACAGTGTCAAGATTGACGTGCTCTTGACTGTACACTAGATGTCGCGACGAGTACCAAATAGCTATTTTTGTAACTAAATTGCATATATGCTAAATTATTTTACAATAGCGAGTTGCAATTTATCAAAGGTACTCTTATTTCTGGTAATAACAAACCAATCAAGTAGATGGCGCTTATTGTACAGATTATTATGGTTAATGCTGGCTATTTTTTTATTTTGTTTAGGATTAGCTCCATCTTCATCTAATCCTAAACAAAATAAAAGCCGTATTATGAAGCGTTAATTTATAAATTAGTTTGTAACGCATATTTCATTATAAAGTGAAGCATTTCCTACAAAAAAGTGAAAATGATCAAATTGTTAATTTGGCCCTTATATTTAGGAACCATCGATTTCTCAAAGTTGATGATAATCTGTAAAAAATCGCCTTTTTGTAAATGTATTTAAAAACTCGACTAGACATTAATACTTAATATGTATACATATGTATGGATAGCATTGAAATGCTGTTACTGCATGATTAAAATGTGTAAAGCAAATACCTTTTTACAGTGCAGTCGTGTTCATCAATAAGTGTAACGCGCGAAATTCAAATCAAATTTTCGAGTTCGAGTTTCTCGAGCTTTTAGGATATAATACAGACTTTTGCCTATTGCTTCTTTTTATTTTCCAATGCAGAATACAAAGGGTCGACGGATGCACATAAGTCAAATTCATTTGTTACTTCATTAATTTGTAACTTCAATTCTAGTGTCGTCTTTTTCAAATTTTTCATTCTATTCCATCTTCCAACATTATAAACAACACAAAAACTATGTAATTTTCTGGGTATTAAAAAACGATACACTTTTTTGACTTGTGTGCTTTAGTCCGCCGACCCTAGCATTGTACTCAATGTAGAACATAAATTGAATATATATTGAAATTAAATAGCAGAAAATTATTTCATATTTATTCAAATATATAAATAAGTTGTTATTCAGTGTCGTCTTCATCTTTATGAACCATTACATTGCTTGACACGGATCTCGACTTTCACTTAGTGTAAAAGGGCCATATCACGTTCTTATCCTCTCAAGCCAGCCTAGGAAAGAAACATGGGCTAGGCGACGGGCATGTGCCCGAGCCGTTTATAATCAATCTTGTCGAGCTGTACCAGCGGCCGTAGCTGCTCTGCGAACATTCGCATATCCTCTGCGATCGCATCTTGACCATGAGGTGCAAGTACCTGTAACAGATTTTACTATCTTTAAAAAAACTTGCTTCTTCTTTTTACCGTATCCATGGCAAGCGTTATAGTACTTGCCATCGTGGCGAAAGAATTTGTCAATCAGCGTAAGGTTGTGACGATGCGATCTTTTTTATCGTCAGTTCCTGGCCACCTACTATGAAATTTTCAATAGTTCTTAAATTTATTTTCTTCTTTGTCACTTACTTTTCTTCTACCATCGCCGCTTTCTACTAAATTTCTGAAGCGAGCTCATGTGGTCGACTTTACATAAAATTGTGACCAGTTAAATCATGTAACCGAACTGCTTATAAGGCATAGTATGTATAGAAAATGCAGGCATTTTTGGGTCTTTACGCTTTTACTTTATCTGTTCTTTTCCCTTCCTGTACCTTCTCTTTCTTTATTTCTACAATAAAATTCACGTGGACCGAGCCTTTTATTTAATTACCGAGGCCCGCGCGAAAAGTTACTCGCCGATTGTTGCCCAGGCTGCACCAGACGTACAGGTATGTATGTATACGTCGTGCGGGGATGCACTGCCTTCCGTGCACCCCAAACTTGTTAAATACGTGGTTGAATTGTAAGCAAGAGCGGTAATAACACAAAATTGAATAAAGTAGACGCACACAAGCTCTAAGTTGAAATAAGGAGTCCCTTCATCAAGTGGTGTTATCCATACGCTCTAGAAAAATTAGACCGTACATCAAAGACTACTACTATTTCTCCTGGTTTTGTTAATCATGTAGTACAGGGGTACAAACTTATTTTGTATACTGCCCACTTTGAGAATAAATAATTTTTTAGCGCCCCCATTTTTTCACCTACTTAAAAACCACTACAACTTCAAATTAAATTAATTACTGTGAGCTATATTAGCGGAGATTAAACATTCATTCTAAACGAGACTTTTACTATAACCCGCAAGAGTTAACTTGAGACCTGCGCGCAGTAGGTAGTACACAACGGCGCTCAGGTCTCAAGTTAACTCTTACGGGCTACACCTGCCAAATGAGAATGATTATTGAAACGCAACTTTATAGTATGTTATAATTATTAATACAAAGATCGAACACTCAGAAAAAAGCTCAGAAAAAATTCCTTCGGTCCGGTCGGATTCGAACCGACGTCTTCTTGCATACCGTGTCAGACGCTATACCAACTAAGCCACGGAACGAACCAACGACCCTCACGAATTTTTCTATGTGCTTGCGTCGTGTCTTTGTACTTGGTCTTTCAACGAATTTTTAGTCGTAGCGCCATCTATGAGAAAAAAATTTAGACTTAGCTCTTTAGATTTAATAAGTTTGCTATCTAATTCTAAAACTATATCTCTATCGTGTTGTTTAACCCTACGTGACTCTTTATTTATTATGCTCCAAGTAGTTTTAGAATTATTTATCGATTGTCTAATTTTGTCGCTGTGAAACTTAACCTTAGCAGCTACACATACTTTTTTAAATATTTTTGAATAATTTCTAACATATTCAATGAAATTGGAATTAGTATTATAAGTTTTTATAGCATGTAGGTCATACAAACGAGACCTACTCTTATGAATACCTACTGTTGCCCAGTTGTTGAATTTAGTATCTCTATGGAAAGTTAATGTTTTCGATTTAAATACATTATCAAATTCATTTTTAATTAAACCAAATATCGTGCTATATAAAGTATTTGGAACATGCGGTATATGGGGTAGGGAATTTAAACTATTACCGATATTATTTTGAAATCTAATTAAAAATCTTAAAAAGATTCGTTCTGTGGTAATCGGTCTGCAGAGAAATTGGTCTACCTTTTTGCTCATTTTACAATTAAAAGAAGCCAATTGGCCGCTATGGTCTGATCTTAAGCAATTAATTATTGATTTAGACACTGCGTCTGTGTTACAAAAGATGTTATCAATACAAGTATAAGAGGAGGCAGTGATGCGAGTTGGTTCTAAGAAAAGATTATTCAAGTGAAAACTTTTAAATAAATTAATGAGTCTTACAGAAGTAGAACAGTTTTCCAACAGCTTTACATTGAAATCTCCACATATTACTACGTCTTTTTGGTTGGAAAAATCCGCTTTAAACTATCGTCCATAATTAATTCAAACTCGTTAAAATTAGCAGCGGGGGGCCTGTATACACATAAGACGACAAACTGATCCAATTCCACACATGAAATCTCAATAGTTCATTCAGTAGAAAGAACTGTGATATCCTTACGCTCTTTAAATTTTAAGTTACGTTTAATAATAATCATGGATCCACCTCTACTTAAGCTCTTTCTTATGAACGAACTGACTATTACATAATTTTCTATGTTGTTAATGTGGCTTCATAGTCTTTCAGCCAGTGTTCTGTAACACAAAACACGTCAACGGAAATATGATGCAAAAAAAGACTTATTTCTAATGTTTTGCTAGAAAAGCCTTGAATATTTTGATGTACTACATGGAAACGATTAGACTTTTCTGTTGTCGTGTTTTTTTAGTTAGGAATACTAATAACTATTAAAATGCGAAACTGGGTCTGTTGCCTTTTTATTTGTTTGTTTGGGTCTACTTTAATTTCGAAACGTAGAGACCAATTGACATGATTTTTGATTTATTTATTCAATAAAACAGGACAGATATATGAAGTACACGGAGAGAAATATCGAACTGAGTTAGTTTGAGCAATCTCTTAATTAATATTAGTTGATGTTTACAAGTTGTAGTCGAGAGTCGAGAGCTCAGTCGGTGTCACAGGGTCGTATTCCAGAACTCTACTCAATACTCAAGTCAGGACTTGAGTATGATTCAAACCACTAGAAATCATACTCAAGTCCTTGCCATTAGGGTCGTATTTCCAGTGTTTAAAAACATACTCAAGTCTGCTCAAATCCTGACTTAAGCATTGAGTAGAGTTCTGGAATTCGACCCTAAGAGCCTTCCTAGATGAAATTACAAATCTCCCCCTAAAGCTCTACACAACGCCCCGTTTTTTTTTCTGGGTCTCTTACCACCCCCTTTAGGCCTGCAGCGCCCATAAGGGGGCGTTATCGCCCACTTTGGGAAAGGCTGATGTAGTATATTGTACATTTGCATTTTGTGTTCAATTTTGGTAACATTCGCACATCTACTTGCAGGTTGAATACAATGTAACTAATTTTATTTAAGACCTCTATCATTACTGTATTCTGGCAAATAAACATATTCTATTCTATTCTAGACAAGGTTATCCAATTTTCGGCGTTACTTACAGAAAGTTCTACTAAATAGCTCTGTGAAATAGGTTCTGGTGGCATTGATGTCTGGGAGATCTTGAACACTTTAGCTACTGTGATTTTCATACGGCCTTTTCGAAACATGTACCCTGGAAAAGAAATGCAAATTAATTTACTAATAAATTTGTGCTTAGTACATGCACATCTACATATTCACTCTCGCAATGAAAAGGCCCCAGTTATAGCGTTCAAAAAACAATTTTGCAGGCAGGGAATTTCACTCCATGGCCAAATATGTCATAAAGGTATTTTTATTGTAGAATTTGCTTGATGGAACATAATATAGTCCCAGTACCTTTGATTTATTTTGGCTACATGAACTTGATTTTGAAACATTGTGACGATGGGAATATCCTGATGGATACCGGGTTTATTAAACTCAATATTGTATGATTACAATATTGGGTTTAATAAACCCGGAATGACAGTTCGATAGCAACATTCAAAAAATACCACATTCATTGTGGTCTTTTATATCACATCCATTTTATACCTACAGACAGAAAGATACTCTACATATGTACAATGTCCCCTCATAGTAAAAATCCTTTATGTATTTATTACCTTTAATACTATATTCAAACTCGATACGACATCCAAGTTCATTAAGAAATTCAATCAGCATCCCACTGCAAGCAATGTCTAAACTGGACCGAACCACCGTTGGTCTGCTCTTGTCACCTAGGTCTGGCTGCCCAATGTATCGAAGTTGAAACGGCATATCACGTGCGTCTAAAGCTTTGCGAACACGAAGCATCAGAGGTGTTGTCTAAAATAAAACAAATAGAAAATTAGAAACAATCATTATATAGTCTATGTATGTACACACATCAAAAAAAGTTTGCGATCACTTCGAAAAACTGAAATCTTTTTTGTTACTGTAGATTATATTATGATTTTTTCTTCTTTTTAGATTCTTTATTTAAAAATAAATTAGAACACAAAACAATGACCCCGTTCAATTGTTTTTTCATATAAAAAGGCTTTCAGTCCTAGCTTACGCTCATTCAGAAATCTGATTTAGTCAATTATAAGCGATTCAAGATATTTTTCGCGGAAAGTTGTGATTGAAAAAATGCCAAGAGGATTATCAGAGGTTTTACGAGATAGAATAGTAACTTTGAGGGAAGAAGGATACACCACGAGAGTAATAGCACGCAGACTTGCTATATCCCAATCCTGTGTCGTGGCTACGTTGCAGAGGTATCACGGAATGGGGAATTTAGCTGACCGACCCCGCAGCGGTCGCCCAACTGTTTTGACAGCTGCCCAAAAGCGCTATATTAGATTGCTGGCAGCCCGTGATCCAACAATCAACGCCACTAAAATAAAAGCAGAAGTCAGGGCCGCCTCTGGGCTTGAAGTTAGCACGCAGACCGTTCGCAATTGCTTGCACCAGGTTGGATTACGAGCACGGAGGTCTTGGCGAGCTCCGCTCAATTCCCGGCAACGTCAACAACGAAGATTGCAGTGGGCTAGACTTCGGCAAAATGAAGAAGGTGAGGACGAAAACATTTGGCAAAATTGTCTCTTCGTTGACGAATCCCGAATCAGCACTCATCCAGATAACTGACGTGTCCGTGTCTGGAGAAGACCAGGCGACCGTGAAAGACAAAGAACTGCCACTGGAACAGTTCAGCAAGGCGGAAAATCGGTGTTCTTTTGGGGTGGCATTATGATTGGAGCTAGAACGCCTTTGATCCCGTATCGGGGCTTCATGACAGCAGACATGTACAAAGCAGTTGCTATTGATGATATCGTCAGACCATTCCGAGTAAACCATGGGCACCAATTTGTACTGGTCGATGATAATGCGCCCGCACATCAAGCTCAACGAGTCAATGCTGCTCTTCAAGAATACGATATCACACGATTAGACTGGCCTGCCGGCTCGCCCGACTTAAACCCAATAGAGCACGCGTGGGATGCTCTTAAACGAGCAGTATGGAACCGTGAGTCACGTCCCCAGACAGTTCCAGAGCTCAGGGAAGCCGCTATTGAAGAATGGGATAGGTTACCCCAGGAAATGCTGGATAACTTGATCCTCAGCATGCCCAGGAGGATCTTCGCATGTATTCGAGCCAGGGGAGGAGTTATTTTATATTGAATTCACACCTTTTAATAATAAATTGTTGTTTAAGTTTAATTAAACAGTCTTTTTCTTTCTATGAAATTTCTATCACTATTACATTATGATTAGTGGCTCAATTTTTTAAAATAAATAATAAAAAATAGTTTTATATTTTAATTTCAAACAGGGTATTCCTATTTAAAGAAAGCATACAACATAGATTTTTTTCTTGATAAAGTTAAATTTAAAGAATTATAGGAGCTTATGCTATTGATCGCAAACTTTTTTTGATGTGTGTATGTACACACCAAAATGTTCAACATGTAATGTATTGCAATTATTATAAATCATATTGTATTACAAATTGCCACAAAACTAAATGTAATCTGTCAGTTTTTGTAGGCACTTCTTTGAGTTTTTATTATGATAAATAATAACACATAATCAATTTATTTAGGTCATATTTAGGTGGATAAGTGGCAAGAAATAATAGTTGCGGTCCCTTAGCCAATTATTAATCCATATATACATTCTATCCAATCATCGTTTAGTAATTACTAACAAGTGCACATTGTTTTGTAAACAGTGTATGCTTAGGGCGCACTATAAGTTTCCGGAACTAGCCACTTACATAAACAATATTTAAAATGTAATTACAACATTTGAAAATGGAACTCTTTGGCTGTAGAATACAGTTTGTTTCATCTGACTGTTACTTGTTTTTACATTATGGAAATCATTTTAGAAATTGGTTGTTTACATCACCATGCATTTAGCTCGTGAAAGTTTTCGTAGTATGATTTTCTACGATTTTAAGTGTAATTTAACAGCTCAGCGGAGCTTCCCTCGGCGTCAAACTGCTTTTGGCGATGAAGCACCATGCAAGACGGCTATTTATAGCTGGTTTGCAGAATTCAAACGCGGTCTTGTGATTCTCAGTGACGATTTTCGTGATGGTCGCCCGTTCACTGCCGTGAACAACAAAAACATCGATGTTGTGCGCCGTATGATCAAAACAGACAGGCATGTGACATACCATGAGATTCGGGCATCTTTCGGCATAGGCATGAGTTAAATACAATCAATACTACACAAACATTTGGGTGTGAAAAAGCTGTGCTCTCGGTAGACCCCACATAATTTGACTGAGGCTCAAAAAACGGATCGCGTCACTTGGTGCAATGCCATGCTAGCCAGATTGAACGAAGGGGCGTCAATTTTGGTGTGGAACATAGTAACAGGTGACGAAATATGGATTTATAGTTACGATCCCAAAACAAAGCAGCAATCCAGCGTATGGGTCTTTCAAAATGAGCCGAAACCAGTCAAAGTGGCGCGTGTGCAAAGTGCCTCTAAGCGGATGATTGCTTCTTTTTTTAACAAAACTGGACACGTGGCTACTGTTGCTTTGGAGAATCTTGTACCGTGAATAGTGATTGGTACACGACCATTTGTTTGCCGGAAGTTATTTACAAACTCCGAAAAAAATAACCGTAAACGCCGTATCATCTTGCACCACGATAATTCCAGTTCTCACACGGCCAGATAGAAAAATTAATTTTTGAAGGTGAACAACGTTAACCTTATGAGCCATTCTGCGTACAGTCCCAGTCTGGCACCTGTCTGACTTTTATTTATTTCCAAAAATTAAGAATTAGTTACGCGGTCAAGGATTTTCATCACCTGAAGAGGCTGTCCAAGATTATGAAAAATATGTTTCAGAGATTGTCGCAGAGGAGTGGCATAAATGTTTTCAAAATTGATTCATTCGTGTGAAAAACTGCATTAATGCTAATGGAGAATATTTTGAGAAAAAATAAATTCAATTCTGACCATTTATAGTATTTTTTTCTTATTCATTTCGGAAATTTATAGTGCGCCTCACGTATGTCTATATTATCGGTAATGTACGTCTTCCGGTATTCTACACAATATTTAGGTATTCTATACAACACCTAAAACAGTCAGGCAATGTGTGACATAAAGTCCATAATATACTTGGACAGACCAAGACAGTTGGCGTGCTCAAGCGGAAGCTTATGTCCAGCAGTAAATGCGTGTAAGCTGATGACTTGGTCTAGGTATTCTATACAATGCCAAATGTGCATTAGGCAATGTATAAAATTTCTTAAAGGTAAGGCACAAAGCAATATGATAACAGCAAGTGTAAGAATATTTTGTGCAAGTGTTAAGAATAACTTATGCACGTCTAAGTGTCACAAAAGTTCATCTTCTAAGAATAAGTGGGTTATGAAAAGAATTGGTGATTAAGTTCGTTGCAAAAATTTCAATTGGGGACTTGTGCAACAAACGTCTAAATAAATGTATAAATTTTATTTCACGAATCCTCACTAATGTAGTACTTGCTACGTTTAAATTTCTGGAAAAAATCCCCGCCAAGATATTATTTAATATATTAGGTATATTAAATTTGTAGATGACGGGATTTGCAGTAAACACATATATTTTCAGCGTCGATGTCCTGTCAACATTACAATACAGATTAATTGTGTTACTACTTACTGTGTGCTAACCTAAATCTACAGGAGGGGTTTAAACCAGCTGGAAACGCAATCAGAAATGACCAATTCAATTTTTTATTTTTTGTTTAAAACACTGCCAAATCTAAAGCTGGCATTCTATACAATTCATTTGCCTGTCAGGTATAAAAAAAAAAAAAAAAAAAAAACAATACCAAGGTTATCTATACAATGCCTAGGAAATGTGTATAACAGTTACAAAAATATTAATTATTATATACATTGCCTAAGGAAACTCAGTATTCTGTAGAATGACTAAGTGTTGTATACAATCCCTGAATTATATACATTGCCATTAACATACACAATATCATCGGTATTTTGTAGTAAAAGTCAAAACGCCATAATGAAAAATTTTTTGGGAGCATGTTTTAGTTTTTCACAATTGTTTTACAATATTTATATAAATTTGAAACTTAAACTTAATTAAAACCAAATTGAATTTTAAAACAGGACATAAATATTTTGAAACAGTCATTAAATTATAAAACATGCTCCCCAGAATTTTTCTATTAAATAGAGCTTACGCCCTTCCTACAAAACACCGACAATGTCATGATGATAATATTATGATTGTATATAAAATATATTGTATATACATTTGATGTACATAAAAACATAATTATTTATATGGTTTGTTCATTCTCAGGCCGGTATTTTTTTTAGATTTAAGCACTAAGTATCCGTAGGGGTGCACGAAAGGAGCCTCTGCACACGACGTACCATTCCTTTCTTGCACGTCTTCTGGTGCACTCTGGGCAACAATCGTCGAGTATCTTACGTCGATTGGCAAATGCTTTCACCACTATGGTAAGCATTAAAGTGATGCCATGGATACAAAAAGAAAAAAATGACTAAGTGTCTAGTGTTAACTAGTATACCTGTTGATTTGGATCCCGCAAACTAAAGCAAACCTCCTGGTCATCGAAGGTTTCTGGCCCAGCGTCAACGTTGTCACACAAGCCACGGAGACGGTGTAGAAGCACCTCAACAGCTGAATCCAATACCGAACCCTACGAAGAATGCGAGTATCACGTTAAAACTTTGATAGTTTATGAAATAAAGCATTGAAAACATAAATTGATTTACCTGTAATAAGTACTCTTGGTTTGGTATGATATTAGCTTTCACCGCTTGAGATAAGCTGTCAGTAGCAGTGATGGGAGCAGCGTTTCCACCCGACATTGTACAAATTAAGATAACATTCACGAATAGTTTGTATTTTTCGCAAGTTTTACCCTGTTTATTAAGTACATAACATAACCAAAATCAAAATAGCTCTATTGAAAATGACAATGACGTTCAGAATCTTGTTCAATAAGTTACGGCTTGAGTTAAATTTTAAGAAAAGCATCCACATCTCAAGATTATTATTTTGAATATAAGAAAGCAAAAGACCCTTAAGAAAATTGATGCAAAATTATTTAGAGTACACTTTTATATTTTTATTCGTTATTATTCTAAGTTTTTATTAATGTAATTTTTAAATTGTATACAACTTATGTCTAGCGAATTAACCAGCTCTTATATTAAGAACGTAAATTAACATTTCTTTTAATTTTACACGTGGGATTCTTAGGAATTTAGCCGTTTTTTGACAGGGCTCTGACGTTTAGCTGACTACTGACTGACAGTGACAGTTCGATATCGTGAGTGAAGCAAGCGACTATGAACTCTGTTTCGAACTAAAATGAAAAAAAAAAGTAGAATAAAGTTCAGTTTAGTGACACTTTGAAGTTTTGGCTTGTGTTGTGTTTAATAATTAGCGTTTGATAATAAGTTATTTGTTATTAAAAAGTCTTCTGGTGTTCCCTAAACATGACGGGACACGTCTCAATAAGACTAGCTTCCGAGAGAGTGAACCATTGCGTTGCTTCTGCAAATGAATTACCTCGGTTTTACACGCCGGGTGAGGTTATCACTGGCATGCAAGATTTTATGCGGTAAGCCCAAGAATATTTAAACAAAGGGGTTAAAGCATGAAATTGCCCTTTTTTAAGGCCAAGTCCTTGCCGAACAACGTGTTATCTCGAATACATTGTAATATATAAATAACACTTCGGGCAAACGTACCCATGTACGTTTGGCAAGACGTATGGCTTGAGTACCCTTAACTCACGCACCAACGCTTTCACACTCACCTGGGCACGTACGTGTTTATGAAGCGCATTGGTGCGTGTTTATGAAGCGCATTGGTGCGTGTTTATGAAGCGAAGTCGAGTGTCAGGATCATAGTAAACATATGACTGTGATCTTTGCTTATCCCAATTGAAACAGGGCGTGAAATGTAATAAATAACATTTGATCAAAATATGCAACCATGCTATTAATATACTTTTGCCAACTTGCTGGAAACTTTTTCAACAATTTCTTTAACATTTCTTCTTTTGCTTTAAAGTACCAAAACAATTCTAAGACTGGATTTCTGTTTCCCACATAGGAATCCACAGTCTTGGGACTTGTTTTGGACTGCCTCTCAACTAAATTGTTTTTATTATAGAAAAAAAAAAATACTGATATAGTTACCTATATCAGTAGTCAGGTGAATATTCACCAATTAGAGCTCATCACCATCTTCCATACAACATATATACTTTAATCTGCAACCGTTGTACAGATAAAATTTGTTTTTTTGATTGTTTATTTATTTCCAAAAATTAAGAACCAGTTACGCGGTCATCGATTTTCGTCACCTGAAGAAGCTGTCGACGAGTATGAGAAAAATATGTTTCAGAAATTGTCATGAAGGAGTAGCATAAATGTTTTCAAATTTGGTTCATTTGTATAAATAAGTGCATTACCGCTAACGGAGAATATTTTGAGAAACAATAAATTCATTTCTGATTATTTATAGTATTTTTTTCTTATTCATTCTGGAAACCTAAAGTGCACCCCACGTACATACCTAATTTGATTTTAAAGCAAAATGCACAAACAAATAGAATTAAAATAAAAAAAGCAAATTTTGAAATTTTGGTATTTTTTATTAGAATTAGCTTTCAGGTTTTATTTGATGTTTTCTTCTTCTTACATTAAAAAGACTATTTCATTTCAAATTGGTCAGAATTTTCCATAGTTCCGTTCTAAAGATTATTTCATACTTGAACCCCTTAATATTTACTTTTTTATGTCCATAGTATATCTATGGAGACATTAATCTGTGAAGCACTACAATGAAAAATTTGTCAAACTCAAACTACACATGAATCTATTTTTTTTAATTTTAGTGGCCATGGAACTTATGCAGATGATGATTGCCTGAAGTCATCAGTGGCTGGTGTTATGCAAAAGGTGAACAAACTGATATGTATTCGACCCTTAAAAAGTCGATATGTCGGTGAAATTGGTGACGTAGTAGTTGGGCGTGTCCTCGAAGTACAGCAGCGACGCTGGAAGGTCGAAACCAATTCGCGACTGGACTCTGTGTTACAACTATCGTCAGTTAATTTACCTGGTGGGGAATTGGTAAGATTCTGTGGCTAGAATATCAGGTACACATTGTAGCCCACATAATTGAGATTCATTCTTCTTTTCTTCTTTTTACCTCTCTCTGACTCTTTAAAACTTAACTTATGTACTTTTAACATCCATTTCTTCAATCTTAGTTGAGCACAAAGAAAAGTTTAAAGATCTTCAGAAGTTCTTCGAATTTGTAGATCAAACCTTTAGCATCCTATAAAGGTTCAGTTTGTTTATTACCAGTCTTTAAGCAATTCAGTGTTATAAATTTTGCTTCTTATTGATAAATTGAAAACATTGCAGCGCCGTAGGTCAGCAGAAGATGAACAGATGATGAGAAAGCATTTGCAAGAGGGGGATCTTATCAGTGCTGAGGTGCAGAACATATTTTCAGATGGCTCATTGTCTTTACACACCAGGAGTTTGAAATATGGCAAGGTAATTAGTAATCAATCATATGCTAGTTCTAATAATTTAGTCTTGTATGAAAAATTAATTTTAGATTTCGATAATTTTAAAGTATTGACAAGTCCCTCATTAAAGTTTTTGTTTTTATACACGGTAGTTTCGGGGAAATGTGAAGTAGATTGGTAGTACCAACATTACAGCACAACATTTGTTATTCTTACAGCTGAACCAAGGTACTCTAGTAAAAGTGTTTCCGTCCCTGATCAAGCGTAGAAAGAACCATTTCCATAGTCTACCATGCGGTATTTCTGTCATTGTTGGCAACAACGGCTACATTTGGATAAGCCCACACAAACAAGATATTGCAGTTGAGGAATACAAAGATGAAATTGAGAATATTGACTTACAGGTAAAATATAATGTTTTTTGCTTCCAGATATGGCTCTCGCAATATGCTTTGTCATTATACAGTCAATCGTTATTTACGCTAGGTATAACAAGGGATACTCCTACCTTACAAATAACGTAGGGGTATCCCTTCGTCTTCCAATATCTCTGAGCTACATGAACTTACTTCCCTTTGGGCACACAACAGCATATTTAGCTGAATATAAAGTAACAGTTACTTAGTGTATATAGTAGTTTAGTATGTTATTATTATTTCTTTTCCATATTAATGTGAGGAAATTATTGAAAAACCATTAATTTAAAAGTGTTAATTATTCATTGCAGCCAGTAAGCAGAACGGACAGAGAAACGATGGCGCGAGTGAAGAACTGTATCACGGCTCTCGTCGCGTCTAAAATGATGCTCGACGATACAAGCATCATGTTTGCCTACGAAGAAAGCTTAAAGTATGATAATGTGAAAGAACTGCTTGACCCAGAAGCGATGCTGGATATAGCATTTTTAACGCAACATAGAATAAATAATATTATGGAAGAATAATAAATTGTTTCACTGAAATTAAGGAAAAATTTCATAAATATGTAGTATAATAAAAAAACCTATTTACGATTACATTTTTATATATTTTATAATCCATAAAATATGGTAAAAGTATATTATCACAAATATTAAATAATAAGTAATTACAGTCACCATACAGGCACTCTCATAAAAAAATCTCGACATAAAATTAATTCTTGTGTTGCATTTCAGTTAAAGTTTATCTTTATCTTAATATAAATTTATCAAAACTCTAATAGTATCTAATTATTATTTGGCTTGATTCCTATGTTCAAAGTACTGTATTATATGTTATTTATACAATAATATTTTTATTACTTAAGTATTTTTAGTGGAAGTTATATGTAGGTCCCAGAATATCACGACACTAAATTGAAAGAATTACAAATGACCACCCTAATGTGATGACTTAAAATTGACCGTTTGCAAGACTTTTAAAATCTGCTTATGTAAAAATACACAATTTCCAATTAAGAAAGTTGCAACGTTCAATAATAAATGAGTCATTATTAATATAATTCATACGTACATTAGACTTTAGTGGTTATTTACTAAATGATTTATCACGTATGAATTCTTCGGTCGAAATATCGGGAAAATAATGAGTTCTATTATAGTTCGAAACTTGGTAACTATACATATAGTGATAATCATTTGAATATTCCTAATGAATTATATATCAATTTCCCGATTTGTTTGTGTTTGTTTTTTTAAGACAAAATTCTAAAATGTTTTGATTTGTGACGATCTAGAACTAACAAATCTCACAACTCTTTGTAGCACGTTTGATGTTTGTCGTATTTGGCACTTGTTTTCTTTTGTTTAGCTTAATGTGGCTTAAATCTCTTGTTCTTTTTCCCCAGTATTTTCATAAGATTCGTAGACATAAAGTAAGGCTTATCGTTGGACCCGTCGTTTCTTTCGCAGTCTTCCACTAAAACATAAAAAAACAGTATTGTCTCTATGTAACCTTTTTTTAAATTAGGGTCAGGTGAAGTAAGACGAACACCGGGGGAAGAGGGAAACCTTAACTCATAGGCTGCGATTGACTACAACTTACAAGT